GCATAAAACGTACGTTGGTCATGGTGGACAGCGAAACGATCCTAGCTGACTAACATGGCTAAATGTAGCTAGTGGCCCATGATGCATATTCAACTGGGCAACACGCTCCATGCATCTTCACCAGGAAGAGCGAAATGGCCCAAATGTACAACAATAAAAGTTGAAATACACTGGATGTGGCAGTTAATAAATACATCTTTCCGAAAAGTATATGGCTTTCCTGGTGCGCAGCATTCATCGAGTTATTCACGTTCTAAAATGAGAGGAAAATATAAGTTAGGTTGTGGAATTATCATTACGATACAGGCGGCTGCCGAACTGGGAGCAATAATTACTCTATGAAATAAGCAATCCCTTAGCAACGGCCTCGTTACTGCTTGCTGACTATGAGGCCTCAAGAAATATGAGTAATTCATCAAATACATGATGTCCCATCAACGGCACGACAGTCTGAAATTTATGAGCTTGTACGAGACCCACAAAATTACCGCCGTCTTCCTCATCTAAAAATCGCTCCGCAGCACTGGCCCTAATATGATACTGTTAACTCACGCCTGTCGAATACCTTCTCCTTGGAGCCAACTATTGAGGCGTACAAAAAATTCCGTGTCACAATGTTTATAATCTGTGCTTTGATCCAGAACAATACCATATGATGCCTTCACTTACAGACTCACGGATTGATACGCGGGATCGAGGCTTTTGCCCAAGATTCCAGATTCGGTTTTGTTCTTGTCTTTTAGTGGCTGTCGTTCACCTGAACGGCACAAGTAAAAAGGGTGTAGCACAGTCTTTTATGTTCTCAGCGGAGCACTATGCTTTCCAGCGCGAGGATTCGCATAAATACATGTCTAGTAGTGCTTTGAACTAAGTTCTAGAAGGAGCGTGGACAACCGTCGGAAGAAGGTCATACCACGCGGCTGCAACCCAAAATGAGAAGAGAAATTGCTTAATGAATGTGTGCGTTCCTAGCTTGAAAATCTCACTATAGCCCGACCATATTTTTGCTCGGTCAACGGTGAAAGATCCGTTGGCCAAGCTTTGTTTAGTCAGGGCATAAGTAAGAATAAGTTCCCCTCGGAGGCAACGATACTCCAGGGAAGGAGGTCAAGCACCGCGAGACGTGTTTCGGAGTCCACTTGAGATTGGCAAAAATTTTTGTGGCGGCTCGCTGGACATGCTCAATGAGGGTGACGTCCTTCGTGCGTCCTGAGTAGACAACTTGGTTGGCATATTCCAGGGGCAATCTGACGTGGGGCAGATAGAATATATGGAAGTAAATGGGAGTAATAGGGTAAAAGGTATGCCAGATCATCCGTAAAATGGTGCAGTAAGTAGGGCAAGTTTGAGGAGACCCGGATGCCCAAATCCTTTTTGGCGTCTGTCCTCATTACGTTATCTGGTCCTCTCTCATCATGCATGAAAAAGGCATCCGTAGATTCTCCTCCGAGCGATATATGGACGCACTTTCCGTCATTCGGAGGAAGGTGTGAGTCCAACGACCACTGAATTGCAGCGTCTGCATCCATTTGAGAGACACCAACTTTGAAACTCCTGGATTTTAAGTCGTTTGCAAACTTTGTAGACGTGAACTTGCAAGAACATCTGGAAGTTCATTGACACATACAAGAAACAGCGGCGATCCCAAATTGCAGCCCCGAGGAACTCCAAAGGAGACCGGTGCCGAAGAAAAGTATGTAGAGGTCACTTTCTCTCAGAATGATCGGTTTGATAGAAACGCTTTGATCCGGTTTAGGACCTTCCTTTGAATCCCATAAGACTAGATTTCGTGGAGTAGCGGGACGTGTGGGGCCTCATCAAATGCTTTTAAGAAGTCGAAAAAGATGGCATCCGATATGAGTCCCTCGTTTTTGGCCTGGGTTAAGCTGTCCATATACACGAGAATGTTTCTAACTCAAGAAGGTTTGGGAGAGACCCGCTGTAAGCCGGAACTATCAAGTCATTGCAAGTACGGTGATCTAGAATGGCCCGTTTCGGAATGCGTTCCGTCACCTTGCACGGCGCGCTGGTCAGGCTTTTGGGTCTGTAGCCGTCAGGCGAAAGTTGATCAACGGTCTTGTAGATTGGCGTGACAATCGCTTCCTTCCAAGCGGATAGAAGGAAGGTCTAGCAGGAACACCTTTGCGTTTGCTGGACGGGCTGGGGACTGGGCACCGAAAATAATTCAGTCATCTTGGAACTCACATATTGGAAGAGCCTTAAGATCGCAACTGCCCAGCGAGACAGTTTCATTCTCAAGGCAATCGACGTGATATGATACGCGATCCGTGATCACCAACGGTCACTCTTCTAGTCGACCGGTCAAAAGCACACTGCGGCCCAATTCTGACTCTGAACCTCCAGGGGTGCAGCATCCTCGACCACTGACAACAAATCGTTGGCCTCAGACGTTGAGCCCCGAGGCTGAAGGGGTCGCCTTTGAACAACCAACTGCATAATGATGGCTGCCTCTCAATATTCAGCTTTTAAATTTTAGGTACCTTTCCGTTCAGTGGTTTATGCCGGCCCTCGAAAGTTGACTGTGGTGGCTTTGAAACAAATGTAAGCGGTTTATCTTGTTCTAATAGATCGTAGTCGAAATATTTGCTGTTGGCTAAGAAAACAACCAAAGGATATATCTATGAATGATGTTTCTTCATGCCTCCAACCGGCTGGTTTCTAGGTATCAGGAAAAGTGGATGTATGGGAGCCACGTTGCCTGGATGAAGACGCACGTGCATTTACCAGCAAGGTGTCAACCGTTTGGAAGCAACTAGCTGTTGAAGACACGAACACCAAGTTAGTTAACGCGGATTGGCTTTTTTTAGTTCTAACACAATGGGAGTAAAGCATTCAGGGTCGCCGTCTGGTACCTCAAAACGAGGGGACACGCATACGTAATCATTCGACAGACAACTTTCGGAGCAAAACATCCGCTCTCCAAGATTTTCCTCCGATCGCATCCGTAGGACGTACGTATGTTCATATTTCCTCTTGGGCAGACTTCTGTGCGGCATGCTGCAGTGTGTCCGAGTAGGGCACCTGGTTTCCAAGATACTGTTTACATTTTCCAGCTGGCGGTTGATCACATTGCCCAAATTTGACCATCCTGAGTTGGGCGTGCGCAGCCCATTTGCGAGTGATGTACAGTCAGTAGGCCATGAGGTAAGAGACTAATCGTGGGTTCGTGTGGTGCGGCAGTTGCGGGTTTGTCAATGTCTGAGTACTACTATTATGAAAAAACAAAACGTATGCTGTGTGGCATTGTTCAGGCGAACCATACAGCGGAATATGTATCGGCTTTCTGGAGGTTGCTCGTGGACATTAATACACGGATGTATTATGGTACATAACTAAAGAAAGGAGGCCTCTTCATCGGAGTTTTTTATTAAAAACTGCCAACTGAACCGTTACAGGCTATTGGACCGCTCGTGGACATTAATACATGGATGTATTATGGTACATAACTAATTCCTGATGAAAGAAAGGAGGCCTCCTCATCGGAGTTTTTTATTAAAAAATGCCAACTGAACCGTTACAGGCTATTGGACAGGGAAGAAGAACTCGCACATGCACCTCGCTTACAAAAGCTGATTATCCATTTTCTCCTTGAACGCGTCTTCCTGAGCTTTCCCAGGCATACATTGATTGCTGCTCCAATCCAAGCAAATGCTACAATGTGGCTCCACAAATTCCGTAATAGATCTCACTTGTCAAGGGACGCAAACCGATTTACGAGGAAACATACTACTCGTCCATCAGTAGTGTAACCGTTACAAACCTTCACCCGTTAAAGGTCCTTCGCATTCCATGGATTTTCATTTACCTCCGTCAGGTCGACTTCGGCAGCAGGTCTACTTGGCCGCTCTCGGGGTGTATCGCGCCATGTAGGAAGCTGCGTCTTATTTACTCTTTTCGATCGCCGACCATCTTGAATTGTATAGACGTTCCCACAGCTGTCGGTAATGGCAAACATCGCTTGCCGTCGACTGCCTGGCTTCCGCGATCCCAGTCCTTTTTCCAGGTTTCTGGTGATCCTCCCACTTGAACTTCATGCATATGGGGAATGTTTGCGCTCTTCTACCTGCCGTTTTCTGCCTAATCCTTCCCTGGACGGTAGTCAAGTTTTCTCGAGTTCTCCCTCTTTTCCTCTAACTCCTCCGGGGACAAGCATGTTGCCGTCCACAAACAAATTCCCTGATCAACCGGAAGGCGCTGATTTCGGCCGTACATCAACATGAACGCGGACTTGCCCGTGGTTGACCGCATGGAAGCACGATGAGCTAGCAACACGATTGGCAAGTTAACTTCTTAGTCACCTCATTTGGCCGCTAGCCACTCCTTGATCTTTCGGGTGTTACGTAAGGTTAGGCCATTCATTTGCGGGTGGTATAGTGCCATCGTGAGCCCTCCGATACCCAGCTTCTTGAAGCAGTTCCTGATTCTTTCGCTCTCGAAGCAAGGCTCCTAATAGGTTAGGATCATTTTTGGCACCCCGTGGTTGGCCACGATGTGATGAATTACCGCTTCGCTGATCGTCGTCGCCCGTTGCTTAGATATGGCTGCCGCCTCGATCCACCGCGATAGTTGTTCTGACATTATCACGATATACTGGTTTCCGCTGGTTGTCACTGGAAAGGGGCTCACTGGATAATGCCTATTGTTTATAACTGTCAATTTCCCACATGCTCCCCTGTGCCCACAACCCCCGCCAGGCATGCTATTATTCTGACAGTAACATCATGCCTGACGGTGTCATTCAACAGTTGTAATACACATTATTATTATTGCTATTATTATTATTATTAGTAGTACGAAGCTGTGCGTGTTGCTCTGCAGCACAAACACAGGGTGGCAGCAGAGCTGAAACAAAACTGAAACATTTGGATAACGAATCACTACAACGCGATCGCTTTATCAAAACTGGATGAAGTGTGTGAGGTAATTGGCTTCTATTTGTCTAAACACAAATTACGGGTTGTTGAATACTTGGCACTCGGCAGTGAAGCTTTCACGCAGATAGCAAGCGGGATTCTGGAAAAGTTGAGGATGGCGATGGTCACATTTATATGGTCTTTTAGAACTAAAAACCACATTTATAGGAAACCCGCATTCTTACTCCCCTCAAGACGCGTGCGGCTCAAGTGGGGTTCCGTTCTACTTAACACGCTCACTTGGTAAAAATTATGTAGGCCTCCGGGCATGTAAGAACATACAAAAAGACCTCTAAGGGTTCTCATACGAAAGTGGTTTTGGACTGGGTTTACTAGCTCTCACTACTCCTACTTAACTTCTTGAGCGGCGTAAAATGAGGGGGCATTCAAAACCGAATGGCTGCCGATGTAAGCCCTGCCGACCCGAAAAATGCGGATGACATCGTTCACTTTTCCGAAGAAGAAAAGGCACGCGTTTTTCTATGAAATGACCAAAATCATTACGTCCTTTGGCACGTGCTTCGCTTCCATAAAAGGTGAGTTCGTGATTATGGACATGCAGCTACTGAACTCCTCATTTACTCCAAGGACGAACATTCAAAATTGCGGGCTTCTTCCCACAAATGAAGAGTTATCATTTCCGGGCACAATGAGACTGGTGGGGTCAACGCACGAAATTGTGAGACATCAGTTGAGGTTTTGTAATTTGACATGTTTCCTCTTAAAGTTGGCACATCCCTCAATCCTTATTGGAGGCGCGCACCAGCTTAAGCGACGGCCTGATTAGTACATAAATGTGAGAATTGGGCAAGCAATATCAACGGGGTTGTGCAGACTCAACTCAACATACAACATGTGGATTCCTCAGTGGCTTGATGGCTATTAGACTCCCATCACTCAACCGACAACAAAGAATTTTAGCTTTCTCGGATGGCTCGAACTTCAGGAATCTAGACTTCCTGGGTAGAGATTTTAACACCAAACTAGAATCAGAGATACACTCATCTGCAAATCAATTTGGTTTTCACGGGAGACTCAATTGAAACTCTCGTTTATGATGTTCTCCAGCTGAATGTACTGCACACAGGCCGCCTCATGATTCAGTTGGCACGATATTCGAGGTTGACGGAACCTCGGGGACTGCGCCTACCTGATGAGCCCCAAGAAGGGCGAAACCGGTCGTGGGTTGTCAGAGTTTTCAGCAACCTTGTGAGTAGTTTCCTTTAGAATCAGAGATGTTCAAAT